AAAGTTAGCTTCTTGACGTGCATTCTGCTCAATGCCAAAGTTAACACAGTTGCGTTACTTCAGAAGAAGTTACCTAAGTTGGCATTACAACCATCTATATTCAGAAGCATATTCTATTCTTCTGTCCATTCGCGGCCTCTTGCTGGTTTTCTCTATTTAAACTCTTCAACTTAGCATGGGTGTTTGATTCGGCTATTAATCAGTTGCTGCTTGGGGTTAAGTTATCTCACAAGTCAAATCTACTATGGGTTAACGGGCTCAAGGCACTCCTAATAACTTGTTGAGATCATCACCGAAGAATGTTCTGTGTAGTCTGCAATGGAATTCTCAATACTGCCTATTGAACAAGGGGAGTCTTGACTACTAATGCTGACATTCAAACCTTCTTCATCATCTGATGTTAAAGCATCTTGATCACAAGATTTCGGCTGCTCATTTGTAGATTTAATCAAGCCACGACTCAGATTCAAATTTATCAGATTAATAGGATCTATTTTTGAAGTGGTTGCCTTCAAGATTTTGCTGACTTTGTTGAAGGAGTCTAAAAGATTCTCTTGGATTAAACGAGGCCGAATTAAATCACTTGGTTTTTCCAAAGACTGCAGTAACAAAGGATTATCAGAACTAGGAATCCCTCTTTCTTCATTWATAGAATCCTTTGAAGGCAGAAAATTCAAATCTTTCCTAACTGAAGTATCAATATAGCCAGCCGAACAAGATTTTGATTTTCTCCTAGAATATGAAAATTGTAACGGAGGAATTAAATCTCTTAAGGGCCCATTGAATGCCGGTGATCTAGGAGAAATAAAGACAGAATTCGAAATCTCTTTTGAAATCCCATCGGAATCTTTAATGCAATTTCCGCATTCATTATTTGAATAAAGTGTAATCTCATTTTTTCCTTCGATATACGGATTCAAAATAGGCAAGTTTTCACTCTCCTCATTAATGGCAACCTTTGCTCTCTCCTCAATTAAGGTAGCCATAATTTCCGCCTGCTCACCATCATTTTGACATTCTGAATTCGAAGCGTCCTCCTTCTCCCTTTCTGTGGGATTAGTAAATTCCATACTTTCAACATCATTTTGACATTCTGAATTAATTGGTGCCGCTAAAATCGAGGGGGCGATTAAAGATGGATGAATATACACCAGATCTGTCGCAACTGGAGTCTTTTCCTTTTCCATGTCTGTTGAGTTTTCTATTGCAATTAATTGCGACGTATCCACTTCTCCAGCTGGGTCCTTATCTTTCTCCATTAAATGCACTCCTCCGACACTATTAATAGGAGGTGGCATAATTTCTGACGGTTCATCTCCCATAATTTCACAGAACCGCGCAACATCCATGGAGTTTTCAAGAGACTGTAAATCAGAATTGGTGAAGGACTGTTGATGAGCATTTGACTCAATCCAACCAGCCGGACAGCATAATCACCTAGCTTTGCATCACTTATTCTGATCGAAGTGGGAATAAAGCCACTGCGGTTGGGTTTGACTTGGATGAATGCTGTCGTGCTATCATTAAGTGTTTCGGAAGATATACTTACCAACCCACCACAGTGTCTTCCAATGGCTTCAAAAATTCCTTCCTCCAATACATAAGAGGTAGATCAAGGACTTTGATCCATCCTCCATACCCAATGACAACATCCGCACGGCTATGCTTTTCAGAATGCCAGCCTTCAATCTTAACAAAAAAAWTCCCTACCTTCATCCAATGGCCAAACTGTYCGATGATATCCTTCCGCCTAGCAGCTTCAAACWYAATTAACCCTTTGTCAGCCAAAAAGGGGTTAATTATRCATCTCGAAGAGAAGTGAACTTGGACTGCGTTGGATAWTGCTTTCCAATCATCGTGCGCACAGCTTCGGGTAATCACTAAAGTCTCATCMCAACACATTTCCAGAACCTCATCATCCTTTCTAACCCAATGACTTGTTTGATTTTTCCACGAGTCATCAGRGAATGGAGCAGCTCTAGAGATTCCATCCATAACTGCCTCTTTGAACGTTCTCTTACTGATGTCAATTCCGGCTTTCATCTCAACATTCTGACGAAGTTTCCTCTGTTCTTTCTTGTAAGTCCCCTGGACCGTATTAAATTCAACCATCTTCCTTCTATCAGTTTCCAACCTGCGCGTCTTCTCCATTTGCTGAGCCTGATCCTCTGCATATCTGGCCGAAAAAGTTTTCAGCATTGTCCAAAAAGCTTGCCAGCCCTCCATGTTCTTACCCACTGGAATTACCACTCTTTCTTCCTCCTATCGAAGGCCACAGTATCCATTCCAAGAACCAGGCAAATTTGGACTTGAGTTTTTGCATTCTACATTGACCAAGTGAATCTCGAGACTAATAAAAGAAACGAGCAGGAATCGGTGCCTGAAAAAGCTCAGCCATATATTGTTCAAACCACAAGAACTGAGCAGGTTGCACTTAACATCTTCTAACATAAATTTTCCCAGTTCAACCCAAATACAGAAGAAATGTCCATCGATTTGACAACTGCTCACTTCCATGATTAACTAAACAGACGAAACTCTCTTAAATGATTCAAACCACACTAGATCAAAGTTGAAATCTTCACCGAACAGATAACTAGAGAAAAAAGAACAGAGAGGAGAGAGAACAGAGCATTTTCTACCAAGCTCGATGACAATAAGTAAAAGAGAGATCTTTTTTAGTTAGACTTCTATTAATGCAATGAAAGAACCATCCCTTCCTATTTTGTTTGTCGTGTCAGACAGAAAGAAAATGAGACCCTAGTGTATGAGTTGAAACTATGATGATCACCTACCTAAAATTTAATATCCTACGAGTTTTCTGGGAACAAAAACAAAATGTAGCAGAGTCAGGTAGTTATGCTTTGAGATTAGTCGACGAGTGTTAAAGCACTCTTGATATAAAAAATTTTTTTTTGTTGATACTGTTGGGCGAGAAGTTTCACATAATTACTTAGAAAGAGATGGCTTTGAAGCAAATGCCTTTTCTTGGCCCTGATCTAATTGGAGTTTCTCCTACTAGATAGAGGAGTAAAAGTTAGTTTTCAACAGACTGCAACCAATCCAAAAAATCCTCTATACGGAGATATTCATCTAACCAAGAGATACCAATTTTTTTTTTTTTTGGATAAGAAACTTATGGGGGAAGAGGGATCCCCTCCCGAGAACTAAACAAGAAAAGCTCTTCAATCTTGCATAATCGAAGAGAGACTATAATTAGAAAAGAATTTTCTATGCCTATGACACCACCAAGAAGTGTGTAATTGAACTGTGTCACAAAAATTTTCAAAAGAAGAAATCTTATCTTCGAAGATTCTAGCGTTCCTTTCCAACCAAAGATTCCACAAAAGAGCTCTAACTACGCAACTCCAAAGGATTTTAGCTTTTCCTCTTAAAGGCCACCCCAAAGAGATACCAATTTTAATTTTGTAATCACTTGTCGTTTGGTTCCATCCCATGTTATTTTGTACTACACTCCGGTTTATCCATGCTTATATTTCCTCATTTGGGTTGGTTTCATCGAAATGATGTGTTGGTGTTGTATAACATGTGGTTCTCTTGGTGGCGAGCATTATTAATAATCCAAGTTAAAGCATTGATGTTCCTTATCTAAATTCTTCTACAGTTATTCTCTTTCTAATATTTGTTACAGTTGGGATGCATTAATTCTGCAATTTAGTTTGTTTTTGCTCCATTATTTCTCTCTTTTTGGAGTTTGTTTCCTTGAACATTTTTATTATTATTATTTTTTAATCTTTTCATTATATTTGAAGAGTTTGTTTCTTGTTTAAAAAAAATGTGCTCTTAAAATCAGTTTTAGGTCCCACAATGCTCAAAAAGATGTTTTAGGTTCTACATCCTTTAGTGTGATGCCGTTGCCCATTTTTGGTGGCCTTGAATAAAAGGTGGGGTGCCCCTTGGGGCGTGGTAAACAAAGCATCTTGTAGGGTAGTTCGGCTTCTCAACTCTGGTTTCCACTGCCCAACTGAACAATGCTGGCTTTAATTCTTAGGCAAGATTGTTAAATCTTGGTTTCCAATTTCTGCTCAAGGGTATTGAAAACGTCCCAGATATCACCTTCAGTCCAAATTTCTCCACTAGTAACACTACTCCACTCTCCAGCCATTCAGTCAACGTGTCTAACGATGATATAAAATAACCAGAGTGCCTGTAGAGATTTCGTGTCAGAACTTTTTTTTGGAAATCCTTGATATTATGCCCTTTCCCAAAATGACAAAAATTACCCTTTTGGTAATTTTGGGTTTTGGTTCCACTTTTCACGCCCATTAACCTTCCCATTTAGCCAACGTGAATAAAAAAGTCAAATAAACCAGCTCGTGACAGAAATTTTTTTTCGGAAAACATTAATATTATGCCCTTTCCCAAAATGACTAAAATTTCCCTTTTGGTAATTTTGGGTTTTGGTACCACTTTTAACGCCTGTTTACCTTCCCCTTCAGCCAATGTCCATAAAAGGGAAAAATAAACCATTTCGTGATAGAATTTCTTTTTTTTTTGGAAAACCTTGATATTATGCCCTTCCCAAAATGACCAAAATTGCCATTTTTGTAATTTTGAGTTTGGTGCCACTTTTCACATCTGTTTACCTTCCGGTTTAGCCAATGTCCATAAAAAGGACAAAAAAACCATCTCGTGACAGAATTTTTTTTCGAAAAAACTTGATATTATGCCCTTCCCAAAATGACAAAAATTACCCTTTTGGTAATTCGGGGTTTTGGTGCCACTTTTCACGCTCGTTTACCTTCCCATTTAACCAACTTTCATAAAAAAGACAATTAAACCATTTCGTGACAGAAAAAAAAATTTCGGAAAACTTTGCAATTATGCCGTTTCCCAAAATGACCAAAATTAGCCCCTTCAAAATGAGCATAGGACTCCTATCATGGATTAGTGTAAATCTTTAATCTATTTTGATAACCTTTTGCTGGGTAAAACTCTGTGTTATTCTGATGTTGTTTGAACTGGTTTCATTTTGGCAGGGAATTTCTTCCAGGCTGGATTTTTCAGATTGTAAGGTGGATTTCATTTAACTTTGTATGAACACCCCCATCCCCATGAATACTGTGAGTTTATATCAGAAGAGGACCATGATGAGATAGGTTGACATAATTCTACATCTAAGGAATCATTGCAAAACTCTCTGACCACATTTTAAATAAGCTGTTTTCTTTGAAAAAAAAATTATGTTTTTTGTTGATAGTTGAAATTCTAACATATTTAGGTATTAGTATTTTGATGTTGTAAATTAATATCCTAGTATGCAGTATGCTGACCTTGTTACTACTAAAAAACGACTAACATAAATATCATCTTGTTATAGGATATTATCAAAAAGAAAGCAGAGTCACACTCAATCGACTGCTTCTCCTTGAATGCATTTTTGACGGAGGATGATATTAATAAAATCATGCTATCTTGGGGGGACATTCGCAACTCTATCTTGTATGTCATTTCAAGTGAGAAGAAGGATGATATTAATAAACTTATTGATCATGGCTGGCTCGTTGTTGTTTTGAGTGAGTGTAATTATATTCTTTTCCTACAAAGTGTCATGGCTCCTTTCTCTCCTGAGTTTCCTCTCTTAACATTAATTATCTAGCTTGGTTCTTCCATAGCTTCTTCTTCCATAATGTTTGGCTATGACGAGCTATTTGTTTCTGTGAGTAGGTGTAGGACTGAACAAAAGGTCTAAATAGAGTTTGACTAAAAAGGAAGAAGTAGAAAAATGAAATTTAGATAAATAAAAAACTGTCCCTAATCTTGTTGAAAAGAAATCCTATTGTTCCTTTTAATTTACAGTACTCACAACAATGCCTTAACTGCCAACATAGCTAGGTGGTTAATGCATTTATATTTCTCACTAGAGGTCGTATGTTAAAATTTCTCCTCTCTTGCTAGGTTTTCTTTTGTTGGTTGGTTCTTGTTTGATTCAAGTTCGCTTGCTGTTCTTATTCTTGGCTCAATTTTAAGCCTTCAATTCTTGTTTGTTGATGGATATCATGGGAAGCAGTTTTAGTATTGCCAACACATTTTTCTTTGTTATTTTTTCTCAAGGAAATTACTTATTGGAAGAGAGAACAAGGAGACGCTCTTTCTTTGTCAAATTTCATTGGAATGTTTTACTTTGATGGTCTTTCAGGAAATGTTGAATGAATTTCTTCAGAAATCTAAGAGTGCGATTGATCATTGTAAGTATGGAGAAAGGAAATTTGAAGAGTCTCGTGTCAGTAAGGATAGGGGGGTTCCATCTTCTATGTCTAAGCTGACCTTTTTGCCATATTCGGGGTTCAATGCAGAGGCTTCTACAAATAATTTCTGGATTAAAAAAGAAAAGGAGGTGGTGGCTTTGGATTTTGAATTTGATGAAAATTTTGTGATCTTTAGATTACATTCTTTTGATGATTAGAGAGTTATTTATGAGATTCTTAAGCAAGAAATCTTTGGGAGTTGTTAATAGCCCATTTTGGTAATGTTCCCGTTTCGTTTTTTTTCCTCTCGTTTTTAGCTTTTAAGAAACATAAGCATTTTGGTAACTGTTACTCCAGTTTTTAGAAATATATGTAAATGCCTTTATCATTCTTGACTTATAAAATGTATAATAAATATTAAAAAATAAATATAACATAAAAAATTTGAATATTTAATTTTAAAAAATAAATTTCATAAAAATTTTAATCTTTAAAATTTAAAAATTTTAGGGAACGAGAAATGGGGAATGATTATCGAGCATGTTCCTATTTCTTTTTTCAATATAAATTTAAAAGAACAATAAACAATAAATCGTTACCAAATGCAATTATGTTTTCATTTATTAAAAAAGAGGAAACGAGAAACAAGAAACCAAAAAAAGAAACAAGAAATAAAAATCAGAAACAAGAAATAGAAAAGTTACCAAACGGGCCTGATTAAATCCGTTTGCAGTGGGCAAAGCTTTGCTCAAATTGGGCAATGGTAAATTCTTGGAACTTAAAAGGCAGCCTTGGAGTACGGAAGGGGTGGTATTCATATTTTGATTATGGTAGATTGGAGATGATTGAAGTAGTGATAGTTGGATTATGATAATTTCTTAGTGAGAAGGTGAACTCAACTTTTGGTAAAATTCCTATATTTTCATCTATTTATGAAGAACTTTCATTTTGTTACTTGTTTAAAAAAAGAGTAAGAAATTGGAGGTCTTATAGGAATTTCTTTAGACACTATTAACCTGTTGAATTGAATTGCTTTGAACCCTTCATTGCATTGATGAATGAAATGTACCAAAAATTGTTCAAAGATACAAACTCTCTCGAAAGAGTGAAAGAGATTAAAGAAAAAAAAAACGTAAAAACAAGAATACAATTCTGAACTGAAAGTGAACAGATTAAGAGGGGAAAATGAAAGCTCCCCGGTTGGCATTGATGAGAGACGGCGAGTAGCTTCCAAAAACATCTGAAAGTGAACACCAATGAGAAGCTTGAAACTTGGCAATGCTGAACCCGTTCAGGGGCTGAGAGCCTTTTACCCTCGAAAATTCTAAGATTTCGTTCAAACCAAAGCTCATTTAAGATAGCTTTATAGGCATTCAACCACAGAAGATCAGCGTTAGGATTAAAGGTGATTTGGTGAATTTACCATCTTAGGATTAAAGGTGATTTGGTGATTTAATTGGTGAATTGCATGAAGTGCCATTGGTGGAGGTTGAGAAATTAAAAGGGTGATTTGCATGAAATGCCGTTGGTGGGGTACTTTTGCAATCATCAACCACCAGCTTCTATTATGGACTCGTCGCATGCAGAAAATACAGCAAATGACAATGAAAAACCTAACTACTGGAAGTAAAAGAAGCTGGTAATTGTCATTTGCTGTATTTTTTTTTTCCATGAATTTATGGACTCCTACAAACGTGACTGTACTTTTGCAATTATCAACTCCTACAAGAAACCTAACTACATGAAGAGGCTGCTAGTGTCATGACTCACTACAATTATGGATCCCTCTTATGAAATTTGATACATCATCCATAACTCACTATAAGTCCGGCCTGCTATGTTTGTAAAGTTCCATTCTCTATCTTCAAATGAGAAGTGTCAACTTTTCTTTATTTTCCTTCCACATCTAGATTTATAAACAATCTTCCATCTTCAAACTTCATTAGAGCTTTATCGGCCAAGGTTAATTTGGCACTGTTGGAAATATTTTCCTTCAAAAGCAACTGAAATTGATTTCCAATTACCATGGCATTGAGCCTGGTAATCACCATAATATTATCCTTCACCTCTCCAAATTTTCTTTACTTTCTTTCCGGATCTGATGTAATGTTCTTCAGCATTTTTTGAGTCTCTGCTACCACATTCCTATTCTATTTTACTATTTCAGCAGAAGAAAATCTTGGAAGAACCTTTGCGAACTTTTCTTGATCAGTAGATTTGTCAAACAAGTCCCTTTCATTAAATTTCAACAGAAAATCCTTTGGCATATCCCGAAATGCTAACTATCCACTCTTGTTGTGCCCTGCAGAAACTAAAATACTCCTTCCTTCTGAAGCAGGCGGAACAACACATTCCACTAGAAAGAACACATTTTTTCTCCATACGGCAAGTATCATTAGAATCTATATCTTATTCTAAAAGCTTGTATGAAGTGGATGACGCACCAGCTGAGCTACAGAACTTTCAAACCACTTTAGTTGAGACAATGGAAGAGGCAACACCATATTTCTCTCCCATCTTCAACAAAGAAGCCATCATTTTCAAACCATATACAATAATGCTTATTTCCACACAGCAACTACACAATTCCATGATTCAAAATCCAATCAATGGATTGCTAATACTAAAGGCAATGAAGGGCTTAACTTGAATACGAACTTGTCTTTAAGAAATCCTTGAAACTTCAAATCCAAGCAAAACACAAAAAAATTTTGTATCCATGTCAAACTAACTAAACCTATAATAACCCAACCCTGCATATAGCAAAAAAACGTTAAAGTTGTGGGTCAATTAATTAATGTGTGTTTTGATGAAGCTGTTAAGAAAAGTGAAAGACGAAGAGGATCATGCAGAAACCTAGATCCTAATACCAAAAGTAATCAAAATTATAAAAAACGATATTTGGCACTTGTAGTGCAATTGAAATGAGCTTGTGGTGGTTCATTACATTTCTAAATAATTGGTTTGAACTTTGGTTGTGTTATTTCAAATATGGGAGAAGCTACTTGATGTGCTCATTTGGGAATTTAAGCAGCAATTGACGTAGTTTGTGATAAGCTAAAAAAAGGTGAAAAAGAGCACAATTGAAAAACACTCTCTCCTCTTTTCTTCTAGATTTTTCCTTATGGACTCAAAAGCAAGCTCAAGTCAAGTCAGTGCTTGCATTCTTCTTTGATTCTTAGATTAAGTTTTCATCATATCGATACTATATTGCAATATGGATTCTGGTAGTTGTTGTGTGGTAAATAGACTATTTTGTATTTGGTTAGAAAATGACTGGTTTTCCTAAAAGAAAAGAGGAGGAACTTGCAGATTCCCCTTCTTTTATCCCAACTTAGTTTTACGTTGCTTTCAGATGTTCAAGATGACATTGCATGTGAAAATTTGGGCATGATTTGTATAAGCAAGCTAGAAGAGTTGCCTTTGAGTATTTGTCGCTTAAATAGAAAGGTATTTCCTCTCCTGTGCTTTTGTTCAGATAATGTAAGATTGTTTTTAATTTTCTTTTCCATAAAGAAAATGGGGTTATCATATCACACACTCTTCTAGTTGTCAATAAGAGCCAATGTAGACAGTAAAGGGTGCTTTGCTCTTCGTTATTTGTTACTTTCTTTTTCGTTTCCCTTTGTGAGCTTGTATCCGTGAACATTTCTCTTCCTTTTTATAATATCAATGAAAAGTTTGTTTATTGTTCAAGAAAAAATAAAGGGCCACCCTACATAGGGCCTTTTGGACTATTAGAAAACAAAGAAATAAACCACAACCTTATTAATGCTATAGTTTACAAAGTTGTCACTTGGTGTAAGAAGACTCCTTTTTTTCATCATGATAGTTACACTTCTCTATTAGCTAATTGGGAGTGCTTCATGTAACCTACATAGGGCCTTTTGTAATTTCATACATCAATGAAATTGTTTCTTTCACTAAAAAAAATAAATAAATAAAGGGTCACCTACCTAGGGTTTAATATCCTTCGGGTTATCTTGACCATCAAATGTAGTAGGGTCAAGTGGTTATCCCATGAGATTAGTCAAGTTGCGTGCAAGTTGGCTCATACACTCACGGATATCAAAAATAAAAGGAAAAAAAAATCTATCTTTGTATAGAGTTTGTTTTCTTTAGTATTCTACTACTCTTAAAGGCATCTCCATTTCACATTGCAAACAGGCAGTTGACTGTAGCCTCCTAGTGATTGGTTATACAATGAAGCCTTCACGTGAACTTGATTTTGCTAAGGTGAGAATTCTTATCAAAAAGGCACTCTTCTAAGAGGTGAAGGTAATCTATTGTCTTAGAAGCAATATGAATGATCCCTTTGTATGGTCTCAGTTATGTTCATTCCATGCATTGATTATTTGGAAAGTACTTCAGTATAGGTATCTGAATATATGTGCTTCATGGTAGCATTAGTTTCTATCTTACTCTGTACCAGTATAAGAAATACAAAATCAAATTATGGATATTATTTATTTCCTTGTATATTTCTAAAGCTATAATTTTATCTTTCCCTTTTTAGGCTAATGGATAATTTTTTTACTATGGTTGGGATCCTTCTTAATGTAAATATTTATATTTCAAAACTCCAGCCTTGATTTTTGCCACAAGGTAACCAAAATTCTCTAACTTCTCATAATTGAATTCCCTCAACCAAATATAGATAGTGGACTTTGAAGCCTTAGATCATATGATAGGCGAAATACCAAAAGACTAGCCAACCTCTCTGTACTGACTGGGACTACTATTTTTCCTCTCTTGCCTGAATTGGAGACTACAATACATTAAGGCACCAGCTTGACTTTTTGTGTTTCTTCAGCCTAAAAATGCCAAAATCTCCTTTTGCATGTTTGAAAAAGTGAGCCTCCACGAGGTATTGTATAAAACTGACAATTTCATCTTCAGGCCAAATGAGCTATTTTCTATGTAAAGAAACAAAAAAATCCTATTACTTTTATTTTCTTCCAACATAAAAATGTTATTCAGTAACTTCCAAATTAAGAAAGACTTATTTTAAAACACGGAAGCTAACAAAATTCATAAACTAGTTGAGACACCTATGAATGAAAATGTAGAACTCAGAGCTAATTCTGAAGACGAACCAGCTGATCAGGCAGATCAGTGATTAGTTAGAAAGCTAATTTACTTAGCTCACACTTGACTAGATAGTATGGCAGGTCAATCTTGAACAAATCTCCCCAGGAACAAACCGAAACTGTGCATAGTATATTGAGATATCTCAAGCATGATCCAAGAAAGGGCCTCGTATTCAAGAAGTCCATGAACCGATCTCTAGAATTCTATATGAGTGCAAATTGGGGAAGCTCTCATATTGGTCATAACTCATAAGTTAACTCCAAGGTACTGTTCCTATGTGTGGGGAAACTTAGTGACCTAGCGCAACAAGAAACAATAAGTTGTGACTCGAAGTAGTGGTGAAGTTGAGTTTTAATCATTAGCTCTTGAGATAAGTGTAAGAATTTGGTTAAAATACCTTCTCACTGAGTTCAAAGCTTAGATATAATGTGTCATCGAATTATTGTAAGACAATCAATATGTCATTACTACTGCAAAAAATCTGATATGCTTCCACAAGTTAAAGTTATTGCGAAAAATCTGATACTCGTCAAGATAGAGCACTACTTCATCAGTGAGAAGATTATGGCTAATATAATCAATATGAGATATGTGCCTTCCAACTGCATGCTTTAAACATATTGACCAAAACATTGTATTGGACCAGCCTTGGTGGTTTGATGAAATACAAAAAAATAATAATAATAATAATAAAAATCTTACATATCTTCAAAAATATTAAACTGTTGGCAATTACTGATTATTTATGTTTTTCCAAACTACTCCTTTATAGTTCAGCTATGCATCAGAGTAATTGATTTTTGAAGTTTGATTTTTTATGCGACTTGCACTCTGTTTGTTACAGCTGTGTACTGTAATTTTAGAACCTTGCAAGTTTTCTTTATTTCTGCACGTTTATATTTTTTTATATTCAGTTTCAAATTTATACATTGCCCTGAATGTTGCAGAGGGGTGCCTTCCCTCTGTATCCTACCGAGAATGGGTTGATTTTCATGCCCCTGACATTTGAACTCCCTTTACCATCTCAATTGCCTGAGGTTGACGTGATTCTCCATAAAGCCACAGATGAAATTCTATTTGTTGAGCTTAGCAACTTTTCAGATCTCTCTAACAAAGTAACCTACTCCAGTAGAATGCAGGAGTTGCAAAGGTAACATTAAGATTTCCAGGAATCAGGTTATTCAAGGGGGGAAAAAAACATGTTTCCTGGATTATGGTGCTTCTATTTTTTATGAAATGATATTGCAAAAAGATTGTGGAATACTAGGGTGAAGGTCGATGGGTTGCTTCTTACTGATATTACACTTACAGTGCTTAATTCCCTTTCTTTAGTTGTTGTTGTTGTGTTTTCTTTTTTTTGGTTAATGGTGTAGAACAAATGAGAGAGATTGATATTATTGCATAAAAATGAGAAATACAAAGGAGCTTCCTATTTATAAACAAATAGGACTCAACTTAAAAGCTTTAACTAAGCCAACTAACTCTTTAACTACCCAACAGCTTTAAACTATACTAATTACCGTATGGTTAATTACATCAATTTCCCTCCCCCTAACATAAAGCTCGTCCTCGAGTTTAAGTAGCCAAGGTAAAAGTATCTGGTGCCTCATATGGATAGATATCTACAACATTGAATATCGGATTAATGTTGAAATTCGGGGGAAGTTTGATCTTATAAGCATTCGGGCCATATCTTTGTAAGACTTCATACGGTCCAAATTTCTTCCTCTGTAGCTTGGGAGCAGAACCAGTAGGCAACCTTCCTTTTGAGAGGTGTACCATGATAAGATCTCCTTCCTTGAAATCAACTTCTCTGCCTTTTCTATCTGCCTTAGCTTTGTATTTCGCATTAGCTTCTTCGATGTGTTTGTGCACCTCCTGATGTAACTTCGTGATCCTTTCCGCCATTTGGTCAGCTTCCAAACTAAAATCAACAGAAGATGGTATATCAGCCAAGTCAACAGTTAACCTAGGGAGCTTAGTGTAGACTATTTCAAAGGGGGACTTCCCTGTAGATCGATTTTGCATATTATTGAATGCAAATTCAGCTTGTGCAAGGGTCAAGTCATTGTTTCGGCTTGTCATTACAAAGGCAGCGGATAAGACTTCCTGGAGTTCGATTTGTTACTTCCGTTTGTCCATCAGTTTATGGATGATTTGTAGTGCTATACTTGAGAGAAGTATCGAATTTCTTCCAAATGGTATTCTAAAAGTATCTTAAACATTTGGCATCTCTATCTGATACAATTGTTTTTGGAATTCCATGTAAACGAACAATTTCCCTGAAAAAGAGGTTAGCCACATAGACATCATCAGTAGTTTTTTTACAAGCTAAAAAATGGGCCATTTTACTAAAACGGTCAACCACAACTAAAACAGAATCATATCCTCTCTAGTTCTTGGTGGACCTAACACGAAATCCATTGACAAGTCTTCCCAAATGGTTTCGAGAATAGGAAGTGGTATATATAGCCCTGTATTTTGTTTAGTTCCTTTGTTTGTTTGACAAATAAAACACTTTGAAACATAGCTAAAGACATCTTTCCTAAGCTGTGGCTAAAAAAAACGTGTAGCAACCAGATTTAATGTTTTATCCCGTCCAAAATGTCCAGCTAGGCCGCCTAAATGTAAGTTTTTTATAAGGGCTTCTCTTAAGGATGTATGGGGAATACAGAGTTGGTCACCTTTGAAGAGGTATCCATTGACCAGATGGAAATCTTCTGAATTATTGTGATCTGTGCATTTGGTCCAGATTTCGTGAAAATCTTGGTCATTACAATAGGTTGTTGGAAGGTCAGAAAAAGCTGTTATTTCCCCTTTTTAATAAGGTCAAAAGTGTCCCTTTTCTACTCAGAGCATCTGCGGCTTTATTTAGGGTTCCATCTTGATGTTTTATTACAAAATCAAAGCGTTGAAGAAATGATAACCAATGTGCATGCATACGGCTAATGGATTTTTGTGTATGTAAAAATTTGAGAGAAAAGTGGTCTGTAAAGAGTATAAATTCTTGACTTAGGAGGTAGTGTTCCCACTGTTTTAGAGCCCTAACTAGAGCATATAGCTCTTGTTCATATGTGCTCCATTTTTGACGGGGTTGGTTAAGTTTTTCACTGAAGTATTCTATTGGGTGTTGGTTTTGGGATAGGATAGCGCCAATTTCTATACCGGAAACATCCACAGCTACTTCGAATGGTTGTGTGAAATCAGGTAGGCGTAGGGCTGGGCTGTCAGTACGTTTTTGTTTAAGAATTTCAAAGCTGTCTTGTTGGCTTTTATCCCACTTAAAGTTTCCTTTTCGTAAACAATCTGTTAAAGGACTTGCTAAAGTACTTAAGTTTTTAATAAACTTTCTGTAAAAAGAAGCGATGCCGAGAAGCATTGTACAGCTTTGATTGATTGGGGTTGCGGCCAATTAGTTATGGCTTTAATTTTTGATGGATCCATTCTAAGCCCAGCAGCACTGATAATAAATCCTAAGAAGAAAATTTTTGTTGCTAAAAACAAGCATTTTTTAAGGTTGATGACTAAGTGATTTGTATGAAGTGTGGTAAATAGAAGTTGTAGATGTGTAAGGTGATCTTCCTTAGTTTTACTATAGACTAGGATGTCATCAAAGTAAACAACAATAAATTTATGGAGATAGGGAAGAAGAACCTAGTTCATAGGCCTCATGAACGTGCTAGGGGCGTTGGACAAGCCAAATGACATTACAAGCCATTCAAACAAACCTTCATTGGTCTTGAATGCTGTCTTCCATTCATCTCCTGGTCGAATTCTGATTTGGTGATAGCCACTGCGAAGATCTATTTTGGAAAAAGTTTCAGCCCCTCCCAACTGATCTAATAAGTCTCCAATCCTTGGTATAGGGAAGCAGTATTTGACAGTTATCTTGTTGATAGCTCGACTATCAACCAGTGATTTCGAGGCGCACCCGGGCGCTCGCATTAGGCGAGAGGCGAGGCGATTTTGCCCAGGTGCGCCTTGCAAGGTGCCCAGGCGAGAGCCTTCAACCGGGCGCTCGCCTTGGCGCGCCTCGACACGCCTTTGCGCACCTCTCGCCTGAGGCAAGGCAATCGCCTTGTTGAAGGCGGGCGCACAAATAGCCCACCTCAAATGAAAAGCCCTAAAAATTATCCAAATTCTCCTTGACAGCTTCTTCTTCTTTGTTTTTGTTCGCCTTCTTTGTATTTGCCGGCAACTATTTGCCTCCGTCGATCGTCGAAATTAAAAAGAAGAAACATTAGGATGGAAGAAGAATGAAGAGTCGAAGAAAGAAGAATGAAAAGTAGAGTAGAAGAGTGAAAGGAAGAAGAAGTGTTGAAATTAGGAAGAAGAAGATTCGGATGCAAAAAAAAGAAAAATAAGAAAAGTGGGAGAAAAGCAAAAGGTAGAATTATATTTTCAAGAAGCATTAAATGAGGGTCATGCATGGTATTATTTTCAAGAACATTTAGTGCTAGTGCCATGCATGGTGACTAATAAACAGATGGCAACTTAAATGGGTTATTGCTATTGCATTTTACGATATAAAAACTTTTAAAATTTTTATATTTTTTTTCTTAATTTAAGTGAACTTTTATTTAAACATTAAATTATTTTTTAATGTTTTAATGTTTTAAAAGATGTACGTTAATATTTTTACCTCTTTTCTTTATTTTATTTGATATATTTATTGTTTAATCTTTTTTTTATAACTTTGGCATTTTATATATATATATATATATATATATATATATATATATAAATAAAGGTGCGCCTTGCTTCACTCAGGCGTCGCCTTTTTATCGCCTGTCGCCTTAAGGCGATCTAAGGACTTGTCGCCTTGAGGTGCGCCTTGCGCCTTGAAAACACTGCTATCAACGCACATTCTCCACGAGCCATCTTTTTTAGGAGTTAAGAGGGCTGGTACTGCACACGGACTCAAGCTGGGCTGAATATGTCCTTTTTCCAGCAGCTCTGCTATTTGGTCGTGTTGGATCTTATATTCTGTGAGATTCATTTATAGTGTGGAAGATTAGGTAGAGTAGTTCCTGGTACAAGATCAATATGGTGTTGTATGTCTCGTAGGGGTGGTAGGTGTGTCTTGTGGCTTAAGAAGTTTAAGAAATTTGTGAAGGAGGGATTGGACAGACGGGTGCATATTTGTGCCTGATATGTTGTCTGAAGGTGTGAAGTTCTTGATAACCAAACCTAATATATGGGCAGAACGGTGAAGGAGAAATTGTCTCCCACGTCAAATGTGGAACAAATTCCCTTTATCCAAAGCCTTATAATTGGTTTGGTTTATCAAGGGTAGCAAGACCACTGTTTTCCTCATCCAAGAGAATTCATAGGTATTGTCGCAACATTTGTGAAGAGCTCGTGTATCATATTGCCACGGCCTGCCTAAAAGGATATGACATACATCCATATCTAACACATCACATGTTATTTGGTCTTTGTAACTGGTTCCAATTGAAAGAGGAACCGTACAAATTGTGTTAACCAAACTTCTCCACCTTTGTGGATCCAGCTCAGCTTATATGGTGAAGGGTGGGGGGAAACCTTGAGATTAAGAGCGGCAACCAGGCTTACTAGATACTACATTTTCAGTGCTCCCACTATCAATTATTATGTTGCATATTTTTCCATTGACTGTGCACCGAGTGCGAAATAAGAAATGTCGTTGGGGTGTTGGATTTGTCTTTGGAGTCAATAGGATTCGTTCTAGAACACAAGCAACTTGTTCGCCATCCTGGTTCCACATATTGATGTAATCGTTAGTAGCCTTTAAGTTCTGTTATTAGCTTTTGTTTTAAAGCTTATGTTTAATAGGCTTTAGGTTATGTTTGGTAGGCTTTTAANTATATATATCAAGATTATAAGTTTCAAGTTGAAGATGAAAAGAAGGTTGCTCAAATGTTTCTTATTATACTTAGCACAAAGATATAACTCACCTGCAGAGTCCATATTCCTTTAGGACCTCGAAAATCAGGTATGCCACAAGATGTTGATATTCCTGCACCGGTAAACACCACTAGATGCTTACTCTGCACGTACGAACAAAACTCCTCAAGAGATTGATTAAAATGAACGTAGAAATAAATGAAATATCATAAATAAGATTTATATAAAATAGATTTATACCTTTTGTATCATCATAGTTAGTCGTTCAATCTGTCAAAGACAAAATGAAGTTAAAAAATTTTTAAAAACAAAAAACAACAACAACAACATTAAACCACATAATGAACTCTTAAGGATGAATAAACCATCACTCAACCCCAAAGCTTAAGCTTATGGGTTGGGTAAATTTAATTCATTTATGAGTATCTCAATACTCCCCACTTGTGGGCTTGGAAAATTACATCAAGACCCAACAAGTGGAAATCATAATAAATAGGAAGGAAACAACAATGCAAAGGTTCGAACACAAGACCTCCCGCTCTGATACCATCTTAAGGATGAATAAACCACCACTCAACCCGAAAGCGAAAGCTTAAGTTTATAGGTTGGGTAAATTTAATTCATTTATGAGTATCTCAAAATGAACGAAATTAATAAGGAAGCCTTGAAATATATCAGAGAGAAGAGTTCTGAGAAAAGGTCAAACAGGTGATAGCTTTGTAGTATCTTATCCCTCTCTCATATCCCCTCGTTCATTCTTGTTCTACTATCATGAATGCAAGTGAAGATTTTAGAGTTCTGGAACTACAATTGCAGTTATTGGGATCTTAGCTGCACTGATGTAATCGTTAGTAGCCTTTAAGCTCTGTTATTAGCTTTTGTTTTAAAGCTTATGTTTAATAGGCTTTAGGTTATGTTTGGTAGGCTTTTAAGTTTTACCCGTGGTAACTTTGTTTACCGTTACTTAGTTTTAAGCTAAGAATCCTATAAATAGGTTTCAGCCCTTCAAAAAAGAGATAGATTCATTCCTTACAAACTTGGCTGGAACAACTAAGAAAATAAGGAAACTATCTCAATAATCTAACATCTATGGCAACTATAAAACATATAGTAAATATTTAGTTGATAATATAAAACCAACCGTATTAATAGAAAATATTGTAAATGGAGTTGTTAATAGACTAAACCAACTCCTATTATTAGGATACAGTATTATAATAGGAATTGGTTTTTACTCGACAAAGTGGGAGGGAATGAAGGTAGACAATATTGAAGTGGTTTTGCCTCAAGTGTACTCAAGAGGGGAGGGTCTAATAACCTCAAATTATTTTGAATTATTGTACTTTCTTATCTTTCAACTTTCAATACAATTTTTAAAGACAACCTCAAGTTATTATTATTTTTTAAATAAAATTTTTAACAACTAACAAACTCCTACTAGAAAACTCTTTTGTTAATGTACTCAAGTATCCTAATAATATTTATAATCACTGCTCTAACGATAATTCCTAATGTTGCCCACTTACAATATTTCCTGCTTGCTATTCCCTCCCACCATAATGATCCTAAAAGACTCTCTTAGATTTCAACCAATGCTAAATTTTTGTGCATGTACAGGTACATTGAAGTCCACTCAGATTTATGTGTAGTCGACCCACTTAACAATATACAACCTGTACTGGATCGGTTAGAAATTCAACAGATTCTTCTCAGGCTGGAGGAGGCTCTAAAATCTGAAGGCTGTATGATCAGGGGTCCTCATTTTCTCAAGGTCTTTGTCTTGTCATGTTTCTCTTATACTGGAAGGGTCAGCAGATGTTATAAATGTCCAGGGTTCTTTGTTTTCTATCCGAAAATAAAATAAAATGTCCCAGGGTCACTCCTCTTGTGGTATCTTGTTTTATGTTTCAAATTTACCAGTAAAGCATGGAAATATTAGAACAAAAGAAGTGATTGGGACACTCATTGAATTTTGTAGTTCCATGTTTATGTTTCTAAGTTTTCTGAGAATAATCAGAAGATGATAGATAATTTGAGGAGGAATTGAAAAGTCTTACCCTAATAGATCTGTTACTGTAATCTCCAAGTAAATGCAAAATGAACTGTTTTTGTTTGGTCCCGTCTTATTTTGTGTGGAATGTTGTAGTTTCCTTCTAATAAACTTATATATGTGGTTCCCAAATATGCAGGTTGGTAATTTTAATGAGGCTAACTTGGTGCAAAACCTATCTGAAGCTAAACTATCTCTTCCTTGTATAGTGAAGCCGCAAGTTGCTTGTGGAGTTTCTGATGCTCACAAAATGGTATTGATTATATTTGTTTTCATTTATTATGAATTTTCTTTCACATGTAATGAAAGCAGAAGATTTGCACCTTATGGACTGGAATCTTGCATCAAACCATCAATGGTTGCCTACAATAACTGTTGGTTTTATATATTTAATAGATAATTATTGTAAATTTTCATTGTTTCCTTTTCTATACAGGAGTTCATAGTTTCTTTTATTACATGTAATTAGGAGTTTATCCTTTTAGTTTCCTTGTTAAGGAAAGTTTCTCACCTCTATTTAAAGGTACTAGAGTATTATTTTTGGAATAAGAAAAACAATTTTATTTTTTCTTCTGAAATTGACTTAGTATCAGAGCGGGAGGTCTGGTATTCAAATCCCTGCATTTTTATTTCCTCCACATTTATAATGATTTCCACTTGTTGGGTCTTGTGCAATTATCCAAACCCACAAGTGAGGGGGAGTGGTGAGATATCCATAAATGAATTAAATTTATCCAACCCATCGACTTAAGTGGGTTGAGTGGTGGTTTATTCATCCTTAACAATAACATTAGATTATGTTTACTTGCTATGCTAATTAGAGTGGTGATGTTGCTTTATACTGGTAATTAGTTTACTCGAGAAGGAAGAAAGCATGGTTTTATTTAAGATTATGAATTGATGCTCATGTTGAGTTATGACTTACGAGTTTTTTCTTTTAACATAAGTTTAATTTTTAGTTTTTATTTCTTTAAGTTTCTTTCTTTAATTGTTAGATTTAATTTTCAGTTTTTTATCTTTTAAGTTTCATTTTTATGGATGGTAAGTTTCTCCATTTTAATGTTGGTTTAAGTTATGTGTTTTGTACACCTATATAAGGGTAAACTTCCACAAGAAGTTTGTATCACCAACATTTGTACTTTCATTTGTTTATTCACAATTTTGTATCACTTCAATTAGAAGTTGATTTTTCCTTCTATTGAATTCTACTCTCTCACATTTCATATTTCCTCATTGTTCATTAAACATTGAGATTTTTACTATTGTTTCCGCATTATTTTTTATCACTTTCATTTTCTCAACCGCTCATATTTTTGTTTCATATTGTGGCTATTATCTGCATATCTGTCGCAATTGGTCTGTCACTATGCTATTTTGGTCAAATTACTATTCACGGTATTACCAGTCGTCTGATGGCCCAAATTTGGAAATTTGGGTGAATTAGATAATGGTATCAAATTAGGCTTTTTTTCATACCCTATAAGCAACTCCATTTGCTTGTTAGCAGAATCTTATACAGTCAATCATTGTTTCATTGAAATCTCATGTAACAGGCAATCATCTTTAAAGTTGAAGATCTCAAGAACTTGAATGTTCCTCTTCCAGCTATTATTCAGGTGAGAAATCTCATGAGATCTTTGACAACTTGTCCATTTGACCTCCATTAGCCTGCTAGCTGCACATTTCAAAAACTTGATATTAATCCCGTGGTTCATTGATTAAATATTTGCTGAAACTGCAGGAATACGTGGATCATTCATCGACTCTCTACAAATTTTATGTACTAGGTGAAAAGATTTTTTATGCCGTTAAGAAGTCTACACCAAACATAAGTACATTGATCAACTTAAACCAAAGTGATAAACTTGGACCATTGGTGTTCGACAGGTAGCACTTTTACTTATTACTTTCCTTCGTATGTTTTTCTTTAATAAATTGCTTACCATTGAGTGAATAGCTCATAACATTATCGCTTTACGTACAGCTTGAAATCTCTTCCCATTGCCGATGGAAGCCAACAATTAGAAGGCAAAAAAGACAAGGACATCAATCTTGAGCTAATCCAAAACTCTGCAAATTGGCTTAGGAGGGTACTTGATCTTTCTATCTTTGGGTTCGATGTTGTTGTAAGTAGTCAATTCATCTTCTTCCGCTTCTTGTTTTTTCACGATCATCCAATCAACGAAGTTCCTGATTGGATCTATTCCAATTTTCCCATGGAAATTGAACAACGCGTTGAAGTTTTGGGTGGAAATTTCAGGTTGAAGACGAGAGTGGTGATCATGTGATTGTGGATGTCAACTATCTGCCCTCTTTCAAGGAGGTTCCTGATGGCATTGCAATACCTGCTTTCTGGGAAGCCATCAAGAACAAGTATGACAACTTCAAAAAGGCAACTAAGCAGTAACTCTTACTAACTTTTCTTTGGCTCTTGTTCTTGTGGGCCAATTCTATTTCTATCAATAAAATTTAACTAGTTCTGCGATGCTATTTCTGGCGTAGTTTATTAAATTAAGTGATAAATTTCAACGGTGCTCCTCAAAAATGGCCTCTGCCTCTTTCAGTATGGATAGATAGATACAAAATCAAGGCTATGAAGGGTGCATTAAAAGTATTTTTGAAATTCAAAAATACTTGTAGAATGCTTTCGTCCCAAATGCTTAATCGAAAAGCATTCATAAGTACTTAATTCTTTAAAAGAGATCAAAGTATTACTCTTATTGGTTATGTTAATTTCTTTAACATAACCCATCTTTATGCATTGCATGTCGTGTAGCTTCTACAAATCTGTTGAGTGTTTCAAAACAAAATGGGAAGCATTAGGAGAAGTAGTTTGAAGTGATAGAATTGATATATCCTAGGAAAAAGGTTGTATGCATATTATGCCTATTCCTATTCCTATTTCTGTTGAAGCTTTTCAGAGCAAAGTTGAGTGAACACTGGCAGTCTTTTTTTGGTCCTCTCGTTGGTCGAACCATAAAGAACCTCATGGATATACTGGTTTACATCTTCCCTTTTCGTGCTCTTTGAATTAGGGAGAACAATCTTGATGCCATCATCTTCTGGTGACCAGTCAACGATGGAAATGGTAGAGATCAGGGATGGCTTAGTGTTCATGTGTCGTATCGACATTGTTTTACCACCTTCGCTTCTGCTAACTTCACTATTGTTGATTGTATCTATTACGTACGAATGCGATGTTGTTACAGCTAATGCATGGCTGTCGCAGAACTTGGAGTGGCCATAAGTGGTACAATATGAATCGCTAACCTACAGTAGAGAACATGGAGATTTAAAAGTCTATTTCAATTAAAGCTGTATAATGTTAATTGTCACATGTCTGGTGATACCTTAGGTTTGTTTTTAACGGGTAAACGAGCTGGGCGAAGCTCCTCCTTTCCATGTGCAAACTGCCAACGAAAGTCCAAATTAGAAAATCTACGCATTGTAGCTTTACCATCATGTATACTTATAACCAAAGCTGAGTCTAATGATTGTTTAACATAGTATTAAAACATCAGGTTTCAAGTTCAAACTCTCACAATCTCCTTTTTTTTTTCCAAAGTTGTTATCATAGCTACCCAAGCAGTTTTTCCCTACCTCACAAAAAGAACTGTATTTTCTAAAACCAATTCATATGTTCCGAACCTATGTAACATTAATTATGAACAGACACACCAAGTTTTTAATGTACTTGTATTAATGAAATGAGAATTAATTTTATAGATCATTGGATTATGTCTTTGCTAGCTTATAGAACCATTTTTATGAATCGTGTCGGTTTGAAATTTTTTATGAAGTTCAAATTTTGGTCTTAATGAATAATATCGTTCCCTTTGGTTAGGTTATTAGTAATTTCTCTTAAATATTACGTTTAGATTGTAATACTAAAAAAAGCGAATAATATGCCTTATTAGATATAAAATGAACAAAATGACTACTTAGAGAAAGTAGAGATATCTTAACTAATAAGAACATATATGGTGATGATTGCAAGTTGTGTTGTGTTTTCTTTGGCTTGTGTCATGGTGCTCACTCTAATAAACTGCATGTTGCTACTCAATCAACCATCGAAAGGAAATGTAGGGTTCTTGTCCTACTATTTGATGACATTTTCTGGTTATTCAACTTTTGGAAGAGTTAAGATTCACTTATCTTCTACTCTAGTAGCTTGGTGAGATAATATATATACAATTAACAAGTGGATCAACCTTGGCAACGAACCTACTCTTCCACTATCATTCTAAATACATTGAAACTCTGTGCATTTTCCGAATTCCGAACAAAAAAAATTGGGAGTGGGCTTTATTCCATCCTTAAATCAGGTTCTGAATGTCGTAAAAATCTTTATTGCACCCACATTTTCAGATTCTAAGAGAATAATTGATACCGCACCACTTTTTTAATGGAGAATTTATTTAAATCAAGTTATTATAAAACAATGTTAAAATGTATAAGGAATTTATTATTAGAATGAACAGATACCTCCAAATGACTAAAAAATCTATCTACAATATGCATTCATCAATAAATAATTGCATAAAGAAGCAAAGTTCTGCACTAAACAATATGAGAAATCGAAGCCAATAATTCAGATCATATCATCATGGACGGACGAAATAACTAACCTGGCATTTATGGCCGTAGCGGCAGCTTCCAGAATCCTCCCATGAGCGGCAAATATCGGTTCTGTATAAGTTTTTGCCCGACAATGAACCCCCGCCGGTTACAGATTCTGAAGCAGACCTCATAGTCTTCGCTCCCCCAGGGACCGAACTGATCAAAATTCCATCCATTACTATCACTTCCTCATCGACCTTCACTGGAGTTCCATAAATTTGCGGAGATCTTGCGGTCGGGGTTTCCAAATTCTCGATAGCCGAAAGTGGTGACAACGACGA